CGATGACAGAAAAAGAGAATGTGTCAAAATACCAAGTGAAATGATTCGTGATGTTTGCAATTCCATTGAAAGCAGCAATTGATACCTCAAAGATAAGGTTTATAGCACAAAAACCTGCAACAATCAATGAGTTTTTTTATGGGGAAGTCTAGTGGTGTAAGGTCTGGTGAACGTGGGGGGAATTCAATGCTACCTCTTCGGTGCTCCATCTTGCTGGAAATAAAACTCCTCATCTCCAAATTGCTCTTGAATGCGTGCCATGACAGATTCCTGCAGCAAGTTCAGATAAACAGTACCAGTGACTGTGTTTTCGAAAAAAATGGACATCTTGAACAGTTTCATCTGCTTTAAACTTATTTCTGATGCGAGTAATGGTGAGTTGCGTAGGTGGATCTGTTTGAAACTCCCTTGTAAACAGTCTTTGCACTTCAGCTACATTCTCGCACTTCCAGTAGCACTTTAGAATAAATTTCCTTTTCTCAAAGCTTAGTCTTGCTTCTTCCATTACTTAAAATCAGTTGCACCTGTAAAGAAAGAAAGAAAGTTTAAGTGAGTTATGGGCTCTAAAAGATTCTTCACTTGTCTTCTTTAACTTATAAAACTTGTATATATCTTAATAAACGTTGTATTTATAATCATTCAAAGTGTGTATAAATTTTTTAGGGACACCTTGTATTTGTCCAACTTACCAATTGATGCAATTCAACTTTTATCCTAGAATTTTAAAGGAACTTATGGATTTTATTTGAGAACGGCTAGCTAATATTTTTTATAGGTCATTGAATAGTGGAAGAATATTAGAAGGCAATCATAGGCCAGTTAGTCTTACATCAGTAGTTGGAAAGGTTTTGGAGAGTGTGATTAAAGATGCATTGTAGAATCACTTAAAGCAGTTTGATATGGTGTCAAAGAGCCAACTTGGTTTCACTAAGGGAAAATCTTCTGACATCTTTGAGGATGTTATTGTAAGAGTTGATGAAGGAAATACTGTGGATTTGGTTTACCTTGATTTTCAGAAAGTGTTTGAATAGATGCCTCACAAAAGACTTGTTACAAAAATTAAATCTGTGGGTATGGGGGAAATGTTATTAAATTGGCTGGAGAGCAGAAAGCAGAGAGTAGTAATAAATGGAGTTAGGGCCAATACGTCGCAGATGATGTTTAACTATCCAAAATGTAAGGAGATGAGATGCCTGTAGGTTTTCACAATTCAAATTATTGTTACAATTTAAATGGGAATACATTAAATACTGTGATTGAAGAAAAAGATCTTGGTATTGTAATCAAAAAGTCTCTTAAGTTAGCTAAACAGTGTATTGTAGCTAGCAATGGGGCTAATAGGATTTTGAATACAAGACAAGGGATATTATTGTTTCACTGTATAAATCACTTGTAAAGCCTCATTTAAAGTATTGTGTACAGTTTTGGGCTCTCTTCCTTAAGTAGGACATTGAATTGTTGGAGAAGGTTCAGAGAAGAGCCACTAGGATAATACCTGAGATGGTGGTATTGTTCTATGAGGAAAGACTAAAATCACTAAACTTGTTTTCTCTGGAGAGGCGAAAGGTCAGAGGGGATTTGATTGAGGTGTTTAAGATTATTAAGAGTATTGATAATATAGATCTATCAAACTCTTTTGTGTTTAGCTGTGAAGACAATAGGACAAGGGGGTCATAAATTCAAATTTTGGCAGTGTGGACAGTTACTTTTTAAACAGGGTGGTTGGCTTTTGGAATGAGCTGCCTTCAAGGGTTGTGGAGGCAAAAAATTTAACTGAGTTCAAGAAAAGATTGGATGAATACATGAGTAGTAAGTAGTGGTTATAGTTGGGAGCTGGAAGGGACAAGGGGGTCATAAATTCAAATTTTGGCAGTGTAGACAGTTACTTTTTAAACAGGGTGGTTGACTTTTGGAATGAGCTGCCTTCAAGGGTTGTGGAGGCAAAAAATTTAACTGAGTTCAAGAAAAGATTGGATGAATACATGAGTAGTAAGTAGTGGTTATAGTTGGGAGCTGGAAGGGACATCCTTGGTGGGCTAATAAACTCCTTTTTGTCCCTTTAAAATTTTATCAAAAATAATAAACATAGTCAAGACAGCTAGACATGCCCATGAGTTTAATGTTATTAGCAAATTACTATGCTCTACTAATATTATTATTATTAATGTTAATAAGAAAAAGCAGATCCAAAGATTGAACCCTAAAGCAATATTAACAACAAGTTTAGTTTGACTGGAATCCATTAATAACAGTCTTTTGTTTCTAAAAGATTAGACAATTTTATGCATAATATAAAAATTTATTTTAATGTAAATGTTAACACTAATAATTTTTTTTATTATGTATTAACTTGTCTAAACTTTTATATAAAGTTTATGTAAACTGGAAATGTTTTTTGCACATTTATGTTAAATTGTTATTAAGAACTTATGAGAAAATTAGATCTGAAATGCTGTTTCTACATGCCTCTGGTTTTGAGTCCAAAATAGACAAATTAAGAAGAATATAAAAAAAAAACAATCTATAGTTTGTGATTTTGATCACAGATTTTAAGCCTATTCATTTTCTAATGCTTTGCCAGCTTTTAATATTTAAACCATAATTTTATCAAGTTGCAAATGCCATTTTACTTAACCATCCATTATACAATTCAGTTAACTAATCTTTTCCCCAATTTTTACCTATATGATTTTCTTATCTTATTCTTAATGTGATATCTTATCAAAGGCTTTTTTTTAATTATCAGTATACTGAGTCCACCTTCTTTATATTGTTAAGCTGCAAAATAACATCATCTAAAAAAAAGATAATAGGTTAGTAAGGTAAGATTTTCCTTTTGAATCCATGTTGGCTTTAGTTTATATCATATTTTGCTAAAAGACTCTTTAAAGGTTCTTTTATCAAACTCTGAACTTTTCCCACTACTGAAGTAAGACTGATCTATAATTTCCATAGTAACTCTTATCACTCTGTTTAAAGATAAAAATAAACTTGGCAATTTTCCAATTCTCAGACACTTACCCACTACCTATTGATCTACCAAAAATAAAGGAGAGACCCTGTCTGGCTCTGGTGCTTTAGTTACATGCATCTGTTTTCAATTTCTCAGTTTTAGTACTTACTACTAAGGAATTAATATCTACATGATTCAGATCAATTTCCGTATTTCCCATATAATGCTGAGGGTCAAGAATATTGCAAACATCTTAAAACAAAAGAGGAAAAATATTTTAAAGCTCAATCATCTCAAAGTAGTCAATAAAAAAAATCTTGCCATCAGCATCCTTTAAGGGCCCAATCTCTGTTTAAACATTTTCTTACATTTAGCATAATTTTAAAGAAACTATCTGTTAATTTTAACATTATCCAATATGAGAAACAATTTAAGTTGCTAATTGTTGAAACAAGTTTTTCAATATGCAAGCTGGATGGAGAAGAAATAAAACTAAGGAATGGTAAATATCTTTGTCTTGCTTTTATATGTAATTGAGCATTATATGAAAACTTTGTTTTCTTCATTCTGTAGTCGGCACTTTTCAATTTCCAAAGTCTTCTGACAGTTGTACTTCTCTTGATCTGCACGTGTGCATACATCAGATCAATCATGCCCCGTCTCCTTGATAAAAACAAAGAAGGGTAAGTAACATAAGACTTACCCGTACTTTCAGGAAAGTGCTTTATTCCATTGAAACAAGATTTTTGTCTGTTAAGCAATTATGTACAGTGTAAATATTATCCCTATGGAAAGTATACAGATTTGCATCAATTCAAACATTAATAAATCCTCTGGTAGGATATTGGAATTGTATGTTACTAATGTTCATTGTCTTGAAACATCTTTTGATTTACTTGCCGAATTTGAATTTTCAGTTGAATCACATGCAAATTATGTTTTCTTTTTTTATAATATTTAATGCATGCATTTTGCATGTTTCATCAGTAAATTCAGCATTTTCATAAAAAAACACAGTAAGCTATTACATATTTCAGGAAAAGACTGTATAATTTTATATTAGAAAATAGAATACACAGTATGCAAGAAATATTTCAGATCATTTCTTAATAATTATGCTAAACATTGTAAAATATCAAAATTATTAGAGGTTAACTGCATTGTCAATAAAACTTTCAATGCTTCTTTAGCTAACATCCCATAGTTATATGAAGTTCTTTAAGAACATTATAGGCAAATTTTGTGTACTTTATAGCAGAACATGTTATTAAACATAATTTTCATTTATCCCACACAATGTTTGTATTGCTAAGTGATTCTTAAGCTGTGTCATTAATGTAAGCATTTCAAGTGAATTGTGTTTTTGTGGGAACTAGGTACTGTAGGTTGAGTACTGTGTATGAAATTCAAGTAAGCAAAGATTTATGTGAGCTGTGTTGTAGTAACTTAATTTATCATAATGAAATCCATTGGATGAAGTTTTGAAAATGGCAGTGCAAATGATGTCTCTAAAACTTTCTGCACTATTAAGTTGATAACTGGACAAACTATTGATAGTGTTATCTGGATTATGTGAAAAGCTACCACTGTAATTTGGTTTATCAAGCACATGTAGTACTTTTAGCTGTTTGAAACTTATCCTTTTTAAATTCTGTTATTGTGTGTTTCCAAATAATGTATACATAATCTGGCCATCTGAAAAAATTATTAAAGTTATTAAATACATGTTGTAGGTCATTTATTGTTAATTTCAGCCTGAAGAAGAGATTATTGAGCTTGGCTGGAAATTAGCTCTTTATTTACAAATTAATTCTTAAGAAATTACATATAAGGTTACAGGTTTGACACTTTTGAGGAAATTAGGTAGAGTGAGTTCTTCTCATATTTTAGGTGTACTTTGTCATACATCCTGAAAACCTTCAAACCTGTATGTCAATACCATTTGTATTTTGACTTGAAAGAAAGACTTGTAAGGAATTTAAGTCTAATTATGAAAATAAAAACCCAATATAGAATGACCCACATGTGAAATACTTAACAATGATTAGTGCAGTGAACTAAGTTAAAATGGTTTCAATTTTTGAAATAATATCTTGTTTACATTAAACTAGTGGTACATCAATTTTAGACACTTTAGCAAAATTCTTTAGGTTTTATATTAATAACTTTCATAAACAGACATACTCAAACCTTTATTATAACTATGAAGTTTTATACTAGAATCATTTACAGATAACCTTATCAAGGTTTTAATGACTCAAGCATATAACATTTTTAGTAACTGACTTTAAAACAAGTTATCAAACATTAGGCAGGTACTTGAAAGAATGTTTTTTGTTTTACAATTATTGATGAAAATCTTAAACAATTCATACAGTTGATTAGCATTCAATAACTGTTATTTTACCTTATTTAGGTAGTAAATCCTTGTTATTAAGGTAAAATTTTCAAATTACCTAATAAGGCCTATCCTCAAATATACCTTACATGTTCTGATAGGAATGCCCTTCAACTAAGGAACTTCTTCCCCAATAAAGGACAAAATCAATTAAATACACTGGTCCTTTGTCGTTTATAAAAATAATGTTGCATGCAGGATTATTGTATAGGTTTTTCCATTGTTTAAACTTGTTATAATTTGGAAGTGAAGAAATATCATATTTGAGAGCTTTTACTTTGTTATTTCAGTTTTCTTGGGATCTTCTGGAAATGTGCTAGAATAGGTGAGTTTTACAAAAAAAAATAAGTAACTTGTATGCTTCGAACTTTAATTGTAATAGTATTGAAGAATATGTGTGTAAAATACAAAGTAAAAGTGTAACAGTTTTCACATTAAAGAATATATACTAATGTTACATCACTGTTTATGCTTTGTGCCTTTCTCATGAAGTTCAAATTATTCATTCACATGAGACTAGATGGGTATGTATTCCTCTCAGTCAGTTATGCTATAGGTGATCCTTTAAGATATGTTATAATGATTTTGTTGTGGCTAGCTATTTTGGAAACAACTGGTATGACCTTCAAAGGTAAACTGATCATTCACACAATGTAAAAAATGTCAATGACAGCCAAGTATAGGAAAAATTCAGTGGCTTTTCTAATTAACTAGTTTCCTGAGATGCATCCATTGAAGGTTCATACCATTACATGGATGTGAGAAGCTGTGGTTCAAGCCAGTGGTGTGAAGTGCTGGCACAGAGATATAATAAAGAAGCCAACATCTATATGTGGGAAACCTGCAGTATATGACCTATATCCTATTCCGTGAGGAATATGAAACAGGGTCTAGCCAACAGGCTATGTGAATAACTTATTTTGAAAAGTTAGTCAACAACTGGTCTTGCCAGAAGCAGCAGTTACCATAGTGACATGCGAGAAAAATTCAGCTAGACCAGAACTGCTACATTGGATGCCTAGCTATCTTTATTGTGGTCAGTAACTTGAATGCCAAAAGAACTTCATATCTAAGTACTAAAATTCCTTAATCACTAGCACAACTCAGATTGGCCAGGCATCCTGAAAGAGCTAGGGCCAGACTATGGTTGACTATTACCTTGGTATGGGAAATAAAAGCTATAAGGAAAGGGAAATTATCCATGTGGAAGACTGAGCCACAAAAATGTGTCTAGTTAGCCTAATGTGCTTCAGAAGGGGTCATTCAAAAGAGTGTAATATCATGCACTAAAGCCACAATGATTTGTTCAACACAGTAGTACACTTAGCACCACTAAACACATCAACAAACTATATTTCATACTCCATTTCGAAGCTCACCATAACTATGGGTTTGGATTCTTAGGAACTGTAAGAAATCCTACACGATTTATGGTTAATTAAGTACTTTAGTAGTACACTCTATGAACAGTTCTTGTTATACGTAATGATGAAGTCGGTAGTTTCTATCCTGGAGCTGACTGTCAGATTTAGTTAGGGAATGACTTGGTTGTGGGCTGACTCTTCGCCACCATATATGTAAGTTATTAGGGGCTGCATAATACAAGTTACCTATTCCAAATGTTTTAGGGACATGCATGCATCTTCCTTTCTCACATTTGTTTCACACCTTGAATGGTTTACTTGTCTGTATTCTGGAATTATAGTTTCCATCTATCCAGAGGTAAGTCAATGTAAAATAGAGCTCATACTTTAAGAACTACAAAATAAAATTGATTGTCTGACATATGCTTTTTTTCAAAATATTTAATTGTTTCCATACTTATGTCTAAGAAAGACTATCTGTAGAGGTTGTTCTGATTTTGCTGGTGTACTTAAGTCATTGCACCTTGGTAAAGGAGGATTTTTCTTCTGCTAGGCATTTGATGAAGTTCATTGATCCAGAGGCTAGGAATTTTGAAGCTTTTGATTCTAAAAATCTTAATTTTACAAATTTAAGATAAAACAAAAAAATTAATAGTTTTGTTGCTGAATGTTAAGTTTTGCATTGACACTGATTTCAAGTAAAAGCTATTACAAGTGAAAGTTCATAAAAGTACTCTGAGACATATTAGGTTAGAAAAAGTTACATAATGATAAAATTCACAAACTTTCCTAGAATCTACATATATTTAAAGTGTTTCATTTTTGGTTAGGTAATTATCCTTAACTTATGATCAAAGCCTGCTACCTCCACAGATCAGAACTAAAAACTAATCCAGTAAATAATGTAGCTAGTTTAGTATACTGGTCTAAATAGAAGCATAAAATATTATTTAACAATAATTTATGATGGTTAGAGGGCATTGATTCATCAGTCAGGGAGCCACACTTTTGTTTTATTTTGAGCTGTAATTCTAATACCTACTTGCAAGATTCTGTCAACTTAAGATATTTAGGTTAGATCTAAATCCATGTACTAAACTAATAAAAAATAATCCTCATAATAAAACATAAGTAGTGTTGTTTGTTATGAATTTTGCTCAAAGCTACTCGAGGGCTATCTGCACTAGCCATCCTTAATTTAGCAGTGTAAGACGAGAGGGAAGGCAGCTAGTCATCACCGCCAACTCTTGGGCTACTCTTTTACCAATGTCACATTATAACACTCCCATGGCTGAGAGGGTGAGGATGTTTAGTGTAACGTAGATTTGAACCCATGAGTTAAACGCCCTAACCACCTGGCCCTGCCGGGCCTTATAATTAGTGAATAATAACAATAAATACATTGTATATATTAAACATTTAACCTCTGCTGTTAATGAAAATGTTAACAAAAATATAACTTTATTCACAAAGACACATGAACTAGTTATTTGCTTCATGTATTTTCATTGATTCCCTATCCTTTACAAAGCACATTTAACATTATTGGTAGTACTTGTATTGGTAACTTTCAAAGCTCTTATACATATTAGTTTTCAAAAATACAAGTAATTAAATTACTGTAAATGTCTGTATTCTAGATTCTGTAAATTGACAGCAATAAAGTTTATTAACAAAATTGGGACCTTCCACAATTATAAAAATAGATTTGATTTTTATGACTATACTATAAAAAGTTTATTTTTGTATAACTGTATTATAAATGTTTGTAATATTCATCATCACAGTAAAATAGTTACAAACTGATGGTATATTTTTCTGGCAGAAACGTAGAATGCACACAAAATACTCCGTTTTCCATTTGTTCATTTACTTCAGGCTTAAATATTCTGGAATAGTGCCTTTTATCATGATACAAAAATGCATTTTTTGCTAAAGATTCATGAATATAGTGCTGTTTTTCTTGTTTATTATTAAAGTGACATGTTTTATAATTTATATATTTTATTTCTCACAGGAGAAAGAAAAAGTCCATGGGTGGCAGCCTGCTGTATTGCTATGGCTTTTAGTACATTATTTTGGTAGGATGTGCCTGCAATGATTCAGAAACATGGATCATTCCATGTGTAGTATATCTAAACAAAATCAACATTTAGAGGAGTAATACTTCTTTAATTGTTTAAAACATTTTATGCTTAACTAATCAGCAGAAAATACATGAAAACATCTGATTCATGTGTTACTTTCTACAGGGAATATTTCTTTTTTTACCAGTAATATTTAACACACTGTAAACATCTCACTATTGCAGTATGAAGTTATCTGTATTAATATCACTTCTGAAACTATGCTATTCAAGAATTTCATCTTCACTGTAATGTCATTCTGTTGTACAAATATACATGTAAGTTTATTTGCATAAATAAAGGTATTCATAAAATATTCAGTGTTCCTCCAGACTTTGCCTAATCTGTACCAAGAACATTCACTGTAACTGATTTTATCAAATAAAAAATGAATTATTTTTCATAAAACTTTTCTGTAGTAAAATTATATGTCTCTTAAATTGTGCTTTATTTCATTATTAAAGAAAAGGAAAAATCCCCATGTTTACTGTTAAACATATATGTGTTATTAGACAATATTCATGGAAACACTGCTTTAAGAAAATAAGTTTTCATTTTACCTACCTTTCACATAAATGTGATGGAGAGACCATTTCCTACTGTAAAGTTAAGCATGTAGTTCTAAAGGCTATTGAATGATTTAATATGTAAAATACTTATTGAGTGACTAGAACATTATTTGCAAATTTTTACATTAAATAAATTTACCAAATAGAACATGGTACATTTCTGAGGGTATGTCAGACATCCTAGCAAATTGAACATGAAAAAGTTGAAAGTTAATAAAGGATGTTATGATGATGTTTGAAATATGCTAATTTTAATGAAACTCTTCTCAAAATACCTTTTTAAGTATGTTACCTAGAACTGACAACATCTTTAGAATATTTTACCCAAGATTTCCTAATTAATATTTGTTGAAATCCCAGTTATAACGCTCTTTTTAACCTCCCTTAACGTGGCAAAAATGAGTCAACTGAATTTCAGACTGTAATTCTACTGTACATTGGGAAAGGTTACTGAAAATATTTTTTGAACTATTAAGTTCATACATAAATATTTGTATTTAAAAAAAATTGAAATTATGCATATTAAGTAGTTTAAAATGGACAAAACAATGTTTATTAATATCTTCATGCAAATAAGCAAAGTAAATGTTCCAATTACATTAAGTGGAAATATTCACTAGTCTTTTGATAAGACCTTAGTAAACTAATCAAATCAAGAAAAAGTTTTCAGTAAGTGATCTTTTAGAACCTTTGCCATATTTCAAAAGCATTTCTTTTTTAGGGGACTTTCTAATAGAATTATCAATTAGAGAGTCATTAGTTTTTAACTTTGAGGTGGAAAATTCTCTCTTTTTAGGTGTATGCAAAGAAAGTTTTTTGAGACCTACAGAAGGAGAAAAACCTTTAATGGCTTCTATACTAGAGTCTTGTAATGTCAAGAAAGAATCTCCAAGATGACAATGTTCTAACACTTCTGAGGATTGATAACTGAGAGAATCAGAAAATGGGTTACTTCTCATAGATGAATTGCTTTTTAATACCACACTATTTGATATATTATCTGTTAGAGTTAGACTTCTGTTGCTATTTATCAGATTGGGGATATTAACACTGATTTTTGAATATTCTGCTGTTTTCAGAGAATCAGTGTTGTAGGCTTTCTGGGAGTTTAAAGAATGAATTAATCCATTTTCATCTAAACTCCTGAATTTATGAAAAAGACCTATTTTCATCTGATGTTTACTAAACATTTTATAATTCTCTGTAACATTTGGAAATGGCTTTGGTTGTGGTTTTTCTCTGTCTTTTTGCAACGGTTTCAAAGTATCAAACCCATTGGACTCACCAGCTAAAATTGGTGAAAAGTCACACTGTACAATATCGGGAGAAGATAAAATATGATTTTCTTTACTGTTCTTTGTTTTATTAGAAATAAATGTAATACAACTCTCTGAATCTTTCAGAAGGTTCCTTTTAGAGTGTGGTGAAAAGCTACAAGATGTGAATGTAATATTATGATTAGGAATCATTTCTATCACACTGTCATCGCTTTGACTTACGTTTTCAGATGCTTTAACAGAATACTCATTCACTGGAAAGTGTTTAGTAAGCACATCTCCAACTGTATCAAGTTGAATTTGAGAATCTGATTTTGTATTATTATTATTCTGACTTCCAACCAATGGAGTGCCTGGAGACTCTAATATTTGGGATCTTCTGATGGGATATTGTTTTTGACATAAGTCATTATCCACTTGAGTCTTGAACTGTGAATGTGGATTTCCTTTCACACTTGGACAATTGAGTGTCAGCATATTTGAACAGTATGACTCACTTTTTTCAAATAAATCTCTTGAATTTTTGTCATAAGGTGCTGCAGAATATTTTCTCTGAATTTTGCTGTATGAGCCAAGATGGTTAAAATGAGAAGTATCATTATCTGAAACACTAGTATAAAAAAAATCATCTGTGTGACTGTTGTGTACTTTCTTGAAGAAAGATGGTTCCAGTCTACAGGGATCTGGCAGCCTTGGGTGATATAATCGAGTCCTTGAAATGGATGAAGTCAATGATGGGCTAATTGGTGTATGTTCTCTGTCAGGGCTATTTTGACTGCAAATTGATAAGTCTTTTACCTTTCTCATTAATTTAGACTCAATGAGCTTGGATTCTTTTTCTCTTCCTTGTTCAGATTCATTCTTTTGAGAATAAAATAGGTTCTTTGTACCACATAAAATATTTGGTGCTCCTACTGGTGTTTGTTTAAATGCAGTGCCACAAATGACTGATGAGCCATTTTCACTTTGTTCTTCTGTTATTTTATACTTATCCATTTCAGAAAATGTCAGATTTTCAGTACTAGACAACTCATTAAACCCTGTGGTTGATGAATTACTGAAGTTATCATTATCAGCTGACAAGTAACCTTCCTTAATACTTTCTGAAAGGAATTCTTCCCAAGATGAAAGTTTTATTTGATTTATAACTGGTTCCTTTACTGGTGTTTGTTGAAAATCAGTGTTTAAAGCTTCTGATGAATCATTTATAGTTTTTTCTTTTGATTTTTTGTACGTGTCTGTTCCAGAAAAAGTCAGTTCTTTTGTGCTGTCTTCTTTGAAACCTGAAAATAAGAAAAATACATTGTGACATTGAATAGCCTAACGTGATTAACAGTGAATAAAAATTATTAAACCATATAATATTTTCAAAATTGCATATGTAAATATTCCTTTCTTTCCATCAAACATTAATTAATACTGGCTAACATTGCTATGTTCAACTATCTCACCTCCAGCATTCTTATCTAGTATAGTAGTATGCATGCTCTGAAATAATATTCAAAAAGCTGTAATTCATGTATCTTAAAAAATACAGATTTTAAACCTTAATATTAAAAAATCTCAAATGTGCATTTCCTGTCCAATTCATTTTACCATTTAAGTTTATTAAGCTACATTTCTCACTCAAATTTTAGCAATTCATACCACCAGTTTCAATTTTCCAGATTTGAAATAAAATTTTATTTTCTGCTGTCTGTAAAATTGGAACAGTATTGATCTTTGGAAAGCAGGTAAAAAATGTATTGTTATGATTAATTAATCCTGGCTATATCAACTTCTTCAAGTATTTTGGTAATGAAGACGTTTACGTTAAGTTCTTTATTTTCCACTTAATAATGTTTTTTTTAATTTTTCTGTTCTAAAACTTTTCAAAACTAATTAGTTATAAGAGATGAAACTGTAATGAATTATTAGCCAATACACACAGATTAATGTTAATACAAGAGTATTTCAACATATCTAGCAAGCCACTCTACAGTTCAGGAGAGTGGTTGCTACAGTTAGCCCATTTGTGGTATTCAATAAATCAACAAATGTTTTAGAAAAATAACACTAAATGTCAGGTTTTGGTACTTGTGGTGGACAGAGCATAGACAGTCCATCAAGTAGCTTGGTTAATTGTAAATCATGTATTTTGTATAGATGAAAATTTATAAATATGGTAACAATTTGGATTTATGGAAACATCAGATATAGACAGTATCACTTGGTAAAACATCTATATTACATTTAATGAAATTATTTGTATCTTGGAAATTTATTGTATTCCATACTGCCTTACCTACTTCCAATCTGGAAATCAGAATATTAGCAACAGCTATTACATGTATGGAAGCCTGTGTAGGTTACTGTACAAACCACAAACAGGATGAACATTACCACAACTTAATATATTCAGCAGTAATGAAAGAGCATTGTGTATGAACAACAAACTACTTACAGAGAAAAGATAAAAATGTTTCAAACCACTTCAGTGATTTGGTACTTTCTATGTTACAATTATAAGTTGAATAACAAGGTTTATGCTGTCAACAGTGGCTTTTATAGCAGTATGTCAAGTTAAATTACAAGTTCAATTGGACCTGTCTTAAATGGGGTGAGTGTGTTTTGAATAGCCAATCTCTAATGTGTGTGCAATAATTATAAATGGTGTATCTATGTATCTCTGGCTATAACAGTCTAAATAGTTTCCTTATGATTTCAATTAGGTCGAATAAAATGCTATATTCTTATGACTTCATTTACAATATCAATTTAATATTATAAGTAAGTCTAAATGATGTGTCTTTGAAAGTTCAGTTAGAATAACCTAAAAGAAATGTCCTCATAACTCAATTAATTTAAAAAATGTACCCTCATGATTTTAGCTACATAAATCTAAAAGATGTATTCTAGTAAATTCATAGATAAATCTACAGTGTATGCATCCTATCAACATTATATAAGTTACGTGTAGATCAATCTCAGAGGTGTGTCCTTTTGACTTAGCTAGCACATTCTACATGGTTTGTCGTAATGAATTCAGTTACAAAGTCAACTTAAATGGTCTATTCTCTTATTTCAGCTAGATTAATCTTAGTTAATATTCTTTTAACTTGAATAAAAAAATTCTGAATGGTGCTTTCATTGGTACTGGCAAGATGAATACAGTACGTCCTTGGGATTTCAACAAGATCAGTCTAAATAGCATGTCCTCATCACTAAGCTAGATCAATTGAAATTTATCAAAACACAAAGAGCTACAAGAACTTCAGAGAGGCTCTGTAGCTATATAAGTTACATTTAGCTCGTGTGCATTGGCAAAGTGTTGTAAGAAAGCTGAAAAATAGCTGTTTGGAAGAATTATAAATTTTCACTTTTTTATTTATTTTTTGGTATAAAATGTACTTCTACTGATTAAATATTTTGTACAATTTATATTTGTATAATGAACTGCCAGATATTCATGCCCAGCTTTGATCACTAGTTCAAGTGTTTGCCTTTTTGGTATGAAATACTGTTGCTATTAAGAGTAATTGGTTTGGAATCCCTTCTCACTGTTGAATATACAAGACTGTTTTGTGCAAGAGTTATTATTTAGTCATGTAATATCTAATGATTACTTAGTTTTCATAACAAGAGTGTTAAAAGTAATTATTTTAAAGGTGATAGTGATGACAAAGTTTGTTACGTAACTTGGGAAGTTTCGTACGTTGTGTGTGTGAAGTTCAACTGTTGTAATTTGACATCACATTACTCGACCCTTCAGTATTATTCTCATTTCCTTAAGTGAGTATTGTTACATCATAGTGTCTTGTAGTTTGTACGAAGTTCTAGGCCTCAGTTGGTCAATGTATATATGTATAGGCAACCAAGTGAGCTAAGTCATAAAACATTAGTGAAAATGAAGTTCGACTGTGTGATTGTTAGTTCAGTCATAACAGGCAATATTTAAAGTGAGTGTCACAGTGGTATAGTAATAACAGAGACAAAGGATAATAATTTGTCTTGACAATGGGTGTTCTAAAGTAACTGTACCCATCTGTGTGGACTTTGACAAAGAAGAGAAAATTATTTAAAGTTCTGGATACAACTGTGGTAATCCACAGGGTAATGTAAATGAATCTATCACAGATTGTGCAGTAATAAACAGAGTAGAAAATAATAATTCATCTTGTCAATTGGGTTCTGAAATAAATGAAATAGACTGTGTGGACTTTTGACAAGAAAAGATAATTATTTGAAGCTTTAGATACAACTTTGATAACTAACAGTGCAACAAATTTTTGTACATACGTTTGACTTGTTTTGAATATATTATTTTAAAACAAGTGAATTGTGTGCCATCTGTTTATTGTTGACATTTATTGCCAACAAGTCACAAACACATAGTGTAAAAATCCAGCTCTATATACAAAATCCCTGACATTTTTCTTTACACTCACCAATACCAGTTTCTATAGAGGCTTTTTTGTCCCAGCATAGAAGTATTTTGGGTCCTTTTTGACCTTAGCCTAATTATTTACTGCCATTATGAAACTGATAGCACCTTACAAAATCCTTGTTTTCAACAAAAAGCAAATTACTTAATTTGGCCAACATAAAATTGTCTTTCACTGACACAATGTGGTATACACAGCATATTTAATGTTTCCCGTCTCCTTTATACAGATGAGCATTTCCTATTCACCTAGAATTTTTGAAATGTTTTTGCACATATACATTTCTAAACATTCATGTAGTTTCATCTAAAGAATGTTGTTCATGGATTGTGATTATATTCTTTTTGCTCTACTACCAAATGTTCTAGGTTATTCCCATTTGATGTCACATGTACTTTCTCATGGGAAAGATTACTGTATATTCAAAAACTGTAAAGATGGATGGCAATCTTTTTCCATTTGCAAGTTGGTGATACCTTGAGAATGTGCTCCCCTTACTTGCTATTGGAATGATCAACAGTGATGTGGGTAGAGTATGATAACTGCTTGGAATTGCTGGAGTCAGCAATAGATGGTGCAACAGCTGATGATGAGTTTGGGCAGTCCAGCATTTAACTCAATCAACATTTGATTGAGGAGCAAGTTGGTGACTGGGATACAGCTGTGCTCAAGTTGCATTGATCTTTCAGTCTGGTGGAGGACTCACCCATTCATCAGGCAGAGTTCATGGCTCAAAAGTGATGTCCCATTGAAAACTTTCCTGATTATGTGAACAATCTGCACTATCTGTACAGAAAGATACTTCCTACTACAACTGGCAGATTGCAAAGAAATTCTCAATGAGAGATTAATGGAAGACCACTAAGCAAGATGATGTAGCATCATCTGCTGGAAATTAGGTTCATGGAAGTAATCTTAAATAGGTTATCAAAGAGAAAAGAGCCTGCACAAGCAGCTGCATTGACTATACCTTATCCAGACTCCCTTTATGAGGTACCTGTATCATGGTGAGCTCATGTTCCTCAAGGGTAAATCAGTCACCGACACATTCTGGGTACTGTGACACAGCCCTAATGAACACTAGCCTGGAGTTAAGGATTCTCAGGCTTTCCTATGATATTTGTGATGCAGCAGATGCTAACAATGCCTCCATCTAAATGTCACTCTTGAAGGGAGGACTGAAACATTTACTTTGGTTGTGGACTCATGGGTCACTCTAACCCTCTTGCTAATGGCAGATAAAAGTGCACATTATAACTTTTTACAGAGTTACACTCAGAATTTAATTTAACTACTTTATTATCAATGTATAAGAGCAAACTTGACATCAAAAATGTAGTTAATAAATCAAATTTCAGTACAAGTTTTAAGCTCTTAATTTTATAAGGAAATATTTAAAAACTCCCCAATCTCTCCTAGTTCTTCTTCATTTATATTTGTTTATGGAGTCACAAACTAGAAAATCAGACCCACTTGCTACACCCACCTGTCACATACTCTCAAAAATTGCCAATAATTCTTTTTGACAATTTATGCTATATGATTTATAATCAATAGAAAGGCAAAGTATCAATTGATCAAATTATGAATAATGCTACAATATTTTCAGTACAAAGTACTTCTAATTTCATTTTCAGTTTGAAAATTTATCTCATGTTGTTCAGATTGAGCTGCAATGGAAATTAATTTAGACCCCTATTCTCATAATTAGAAAGCTAGTTCAGTTATAATAGTTACAGAACATTGTTTGTTTTGTGTGTGTGTTATTATTCTGTGTTCTTAGGTGCATTATTTAAGCAATTAAAATTTATTTTGTTTACTGATACCATCAGTAAGCTTAAATGTTATCATCAACTGAC